AATTATGTAATTTCTTCCAAATCTCAGATGGTGGAGCCTTACAGACACAACTTCCTTTGAGTATGAGGTACTCAAGGACTAAACCAGTATTTAATTCATCTCTTTGTTTCTAGTGCCTGGCACAGTTTAGTGCTCAGAGTGAATTGGTGTTGTTTACTCATGGTAGAGTTGTGTGATTTGGCAGATGAACCCTCCTCCTATGTGCTTAATGAATCCAATTTGGCTTGACTTAGTTTTTTTAAATGTTTCTAGGAGCTTGAAATCGTCATTGGAGATGAACACATTTCTTTCACAACATCAAAAATTGGTTCCCTTATTGATGTTAATCAATCCAAGTAAGTGTACATGATCGTTATGTCCTGATGGGTCTGCTTTACAGCAGATAAATATGAAACCTTAACCAAATTGGGACCATTATGGTAAGATCTGATACAGATGCAAGACAGAAGGGGGTCATTGGAGAGAGACTGAATTATTTTCAAGGACTTGCTCCTATTGCTTTTGGTGTTTTGTCCAATTATTACTAATAAGAGCTTCTCAGTGACACACACAGTAATGCCATAGGAGCAGCCAAAGTGGGTAAGAATCTGTCTGGAACAGAAAAATGAAATATGCCAATACAAACTTGAGATAAACTGTAGAGTCACTGACTCTAAATACCTTCCTCAGTGTTAAGTCATTCAGACTAGCGCATCTTAAAGTCTGATTGGGTGAAACTTGAAATTTGGAATATAAATTTAAAAATTCATGTTGTAGTAGGGAAAATTATAAAATTGGGACATGAATCTGTATGCTACAGAGTCCCCAGAATTTGAAAACCTTTTTGCCTCTTGTGTTTTGAGGATTTGGGATTAGATATATCTTACTTTTAGTACATGGTAGGCATAATTGTCTTCCTTTGGACAGTCTCTTTTTTCTTAGCTGGTTATGCTACAGTAATCTTCAGCCTCTTGATCCTGACGAGTACTATTTAAAAAAAGTTTTCCTAAATCTGAAACTTACACATGCTCATTACAGAAAATAAAGGAAACAAAAGTTAGGGGAAACATCACCCACAAACCTGTCAATTAGACAACCATTAATATCTTAAAGTATTTATTTTCTTTTTTCTGTGCATTAAAGAATATATAGTTTTTTTAAAAGCACAAAAATATTTAGATCAACGTTATTTTAATGATTTTTTTCACTTAACAAGCATTTTCCCATTTTAAAAAACCGTAACATTTTAAATGACCTCATAATATTGTTTTGTTTTATTTATTTATTTATTTATTTATTTTTAATGTATCTTTATTGATTTCAGAGAGAGGAAGGGAGGGGGAGAGAGAGAGAGATAGAAACATCAATGATGAGAGAGTCATTGATCAGCTGCAGCCCGCAACCCGGGCATGTGCCCCAACCGGGAATCGAACCCCGATCTCCTGGATCCTAGGTAGATGCTCAACCGCTGAGCCACTCCCAGCTGAGCAATATTCTGTTTTAATATATAGCATGTAGCCTTTTTCTCCTTTTTGGACACTGTTGTTTTCAAAGTTTTAATTCTGTAAATACCTTTATGAGTAGTATCTCGGTACATAATCTGCATTATTAAATGATATTATCTTGCCAGTATTTCTCAGCTTTTTAAACATTTTTTTCCTTTTGCATTTTAGGGACCCAGAAGGCTTACGAGTATTTTATTATCTTGTCCAGGACCTGAAGTGTTTGGTCTTCAGTCTTATTGGATTACACTTCAAGATTAAACCAATCTAGATTGAATATTGGTGTGGACACAAGGGGGGTGGGAGTAGCTGTTTTTAATTACCATTATCAGGAAATTTTTGTGTATATCAGGCCAATATTTCTTTTTTATAAACTGTAAATGATTGTCTTTAATAAATACATAACAAAATGTGGTTCTTGTTTTATAAAGATCTGAACGTGTGAACTTTTTTTTTTAACCCTCACCTGAGGATATGTTTTTATTAATTTTTAGAGAGAGAGGGGAAAAAAAACCACATTGATCAGCAGTCTCCTGCATGTGCCTCAACTGGGGATTAAACCCACAACCTAGGTGTGTGCCCTGACCGGGAATCAAACCTACAACCTTTTGGTGTACAGGACAACACTCCAACTACTGAGCTACCTGGCCAAGGCTCAGTTACTTTTTAAAACACTAACATTATGTGTAAAATATTGCCCCAAAATCTAATTGAATCAACTCTGTAGATAAAACTACCAATTCATAGGAAATAAGAAAATAGAGCCTTGGCCTGGTAGCTCAGTTGGTTAGAGCGTTGTCCCAATACACCAAGGTTGCAGGTTCAGTCCCCAATCGGCACATATAAGAATCAACCAATAATGCATAATTAAGTGAAATAAATCGATGTCCCTTCCTCTCCCTGTCTCCCCTGCCCCTCTCAAATCAATAAATAAAAATTTAGCCTGGCCGGGCGTGGCTCAGCGGTTGAGCATCGACCTGGGATCCAGGCGATTGGGGTTCAGTTCCGGTCAGGGCACATGCCTGGGTTGCGGGCTCGATCAATGACCCTCTCATCATTGATGTTTCTATCTCTCTCGCCCTCTCCTGTCCTCTCTCTGAAATCAATAAAGATATATTTAAAAAAATAAATAAATAAAAATTTTAAAAATAGAGAAACATGTTAGAAAATACAGTGGGAGTTTAATCAGCAATATCAAGAGAAAAATCCAAGGCAGGGGCTCTGGTTTCTTCAATAAATTGCAAACAAAATAGGGATGGAGCAGGAGCCTATAGATTAAAAGATTTAAGAGACACAATCAATGCAATGGATCCCATTTGGATAATGATTCAAAAAAATTTTAAATTGGCATCATTACAGAAGTTTGAGCACTGGATATTTGATATTAATGAAGTATTGTTAATTTTTTTAAGTGTAAAATGGTATTGTGGTTGGGGTTGTTTTCCTCCAGCTTTATTGGGATATAATTGAAGTTGGGTTTTGTTTTGTTTTTTAATATGTTTTTAATATGTTTTTAATGATTTCAGAGAGATGAAGGAAAAGGGAGAGAGAAACATCAATGATGACAGTCATTGATCAGCTTCCTCCTGCACGCCCCCTCCTGGGGATCAAGGCTGCAACCAGGCATGTGCCCTGACCAAGAATCGAACCACCATCTCCTGGTTCATGGGTTGACACTCAACCACTGCACCAAGCAAGGCTGGGTTTTTAAAAATCATCTTTTATAGATATACTTACAGCTATTTCAGTATGGAAGAAAGTAATGTATTACAAGGGATAAAATACCTAGTCTCAGTAAAATTTTCCAATACATTTTAAAAAATACCAACAGCCATTAAGAATTGAGACCTAGTGGGTACAGACAGTATGGAAATTTGTTAAGTAATTATGTAGGAACTTTTGATGCTAAATTCCTTAGGCAGATTGCTGGTTGAATAGATTGTGGGCACTGACAGAGCAGGGCCTTAAGTCATTTGACTAAGGGGAAGTGATTGGGCAAAGCTCGAATCCCTCAAGATAGGCCAACTTCAGACAAGGTTGCAACTCTTCTGACTCCTAGGCCAGTGCTCCTACCACTCCCAGCATATACACATCCTACTCTGCCTCCTTCAAAGATACCAGGACAGCAGGTTAGGTGCAGATCTGGCACCTGATATGTCAGGGTTTCTGACTTCAGAAGGTTACTGTGGGCAGTGAGGCAAGTTGGTAAAGTAGTTATCAAAAACAGTCACTCCAAATTTTAAAGAAATGACAGTGAGGAGCTCAGAAGGGTATAAGAGTTTCAAATGAGGTGTTCCTTGTAATGTTCATAGTGCCTGTATGGTCTCAGATGTGCCTTGGACAAGAGGGCAACTAAAACAAGGTTCAGTAAATGTATAAGGATAAACGAGATGGGAGCCCAGAGAAGAGTCAAGTGAAGGGGTGACCAGTCTTGGGGACCACAATGAGGACGAGGCACGGGACAACTGAAAGCAGGTCCCGAGGAGGAAAGAAGGAGCAGCAGTTAGAGAAGAAAAAGGCCCCAAATCTGTGAAGCTGGCCCTGGGCAGGGAGAACCGATCTAATAAGTCTCAGAACAGGCAGGAACCAAGCGGGGAATTGAATAAGGGAAGGCAGAGTACTGAAGAGCCAGGAAGGAAAACAGGAGCAGGAAGACGTTTGCTGCACTGTCCCTCAGACTAGCTTAGTGCTGGCACCAGACCCGCGTTCAGTCAATACCTGGAATTACGGATGACTGGAGGCAGGCTAATTGCGAATTCAGGTTACCTACGTTTTCTTCAACTAATGCAAAAGTAGATAGATGATAGTTGATGATGATAGATGACAGACAGACCGATAGATAGATGATGGTAGATAGATGATGATAGATGATTGATAGATGATAGATGATAGATAGATGATAGATAGATTAGATAGATAGATAGATAGATAGATAGATAGATAGATAGATAGATAGATAGATAGATAGATAGATGATAGATGATAGATAGATAGATGGATGATAGGTGATAGATATAGATAGATGATATAGATAGATGACAGATGATGATAGATGATAGATAGATAGATAGATAGATAGATAGATAGATAGATAGATAGATAGATAGATAGATAGATAGATAGATAGATAGATAGATAGATAGAGAGATGATAGAGAGATGATAGAGATAGATGATAGAGATAGATGATAGATGATGGATGATGATGACGACAGACAGACAGACAGACAGACAGACAGACAGACAGACAGACAGA